AATAGAATTAATGAGTAACAAAATATATTGATAAACTAAACTTAAGAGGAGATCATCCGAATGCCGTTTGAGTTCCTATTGGACCTATGAGAACGTTTCGGTGAAACTAGCACAAATCTACATGAACTGCGTTATGATCGGTTTACTGAAATTTTATCTACAGATAGATATAATGACTCTTAAGAATATCGTGAAAGTTTCAAGTAAACTCCATTTTTTGTATCATAATTGTGGCAGGCGATTATTGTTTTTTTTTTGGAAATCCGATATCTCAATAAAAGAACATTTATTTCATACTGAAATTCTATTTTTAGGTTGTTCGATAGTCATGTAAAGTTGAATCGAAAATCCAGTAGAACGATCCCTACTCAGGCCTAAAGGCTCATAAGATGGTGATCTTAGGTTTATTTCGACTTTTTCGGACGAAGGAAGTCTGTTTCAAAAAAATAGCTGAATTTTAGTAAAGCATGACTAAATCTTTCTCGAAGAAGAATTTTGGCAAAACTACTATAGACTCCAGTTTAATGAACTCCGTAAAACGTTAGTCTATTTTTATAAAATTTAGTTATTTTCTTGCAATTACCATTCTCATCAAAATTATTCTAAGACCATCATAGTTGTATCATGCGTTCACTGTCGTTATCATTGCATTCGTATGTAGCTGTCTCGTTAGAAATTTAAATAATGAGAAGAAAAATCTCTTGAAGAATAAGTTACTTCTTAAGAGAGAATCAAAACATGTCGTTATACATCAGAGATCTGTGAAACTATCCTACGCTACGCACTGTAACCCAGTGAATACATTTCAATAGTACAAAATCATTGATGTGTTGTTCACTTCGAACCATCAGATGATGCAATATAATTTACTTCAGTTAAGAGTATATTTATTTGATCTCAATGAAATTTATTTTAGCCAAATGATGATGATCTTGATGATGATGATGAAGAAAATAAATGCTATTTACGTGGTGCTTCTATACCAAATGTTTTAATGTCAACAAATCATCCACATAGTGGTACAGGTGGTGAAGAAGATAAAGAAAAACAAGCACGTGAAAATCATTGTGAAATTGAACGTCGTCGTCGTATTAAAATGGCAACATATTTTGCTGAATTATGCGATATGGTTCCATCATGTTCAAATTTAGCACGTAAACCAGATAAATTAACAATATTACGTATGGCAGCACAATTTATGAAAAATTTACGTACAAATAATAATTCATTATCATTAAATTCAACACAAATTTCTCAACAACAACAACAACAACAAGTTGATGTACATAAACCATCATTTCTTAATGATCAAGAATTAAAATATTTAATGGTTGAATCATGTGATGCATTTTTATTTGCATTAAATTGTGACAATTTACGTATTATATATGTAAGTGATGCTATACAACATATACTTTCTTATACATGTCAAGATTGGTATTCCAGATATTTTTATGGTATTAAGAATATTTATTTATTTAAATAGATCAAATTTTCCTTTGTTTTTTTTGATTTTAAAGATTTTGTTCATCCTGATGATGTAGAAAAACTTCGTGAACAATTAAATCTACAACCACAAGAAGGAAATTCAAATGGTAATGGTCGGATTTTAGATCTTAAAACTGGTACAATTAAAAAAGATGGACATGCTACAGGTGCTCGATCAGGCAAGTTTTCTAGATTATAAATTTTAGCTATTGAAAATTAAACGAAAGATTTCTACAAATTCAATTTTTTTAATTGTTACTTATCTTTCAAACAGTTTTCATCAACTGAAAATAGGGTTGCCAACTAAAATCCGTCAGGTTGGTCCGAATCTGTAAAAAGTTTAGTCTGCACACATTTCAGTTAAAAATTAATAAAACATTTCTATTGTGCAAACAACAAAAAAAAAAGAACATATTTTTAATCAAATTTTTCTTCTTAATTATTTATAGTTAGTTCAAAACGATCATTTATTTGTCGTCTTCGTGTCGGTTCAACAAATCCACTTGATCATACAAATCAAAATCCATTTATTAGTCCATGTACATTACGTCGACGTCATCGTACATCATTAGGTCCATCAATAGATGGTCATCTTTATGAAGTCGTACATATAAGTGGTTATATACGAAATTTAAATATTCATCATCATTCATCATCACATCATGATAATCCATCATCATCATCAACAACAACAACATCATCAAATTCTAATGGGCAAATGGCATTTATAGCTATAGCTCGTATCCAAAATTCATGTTCACCAAATGTAAATGATTTAACAAATGGTTCAATATCATCATTAAATTGTTTAACAACTGAATTTACATGTCGTTGTAATAGTGATACAGGTGAAATATTATTTATTGATCAACGTTGTACACCTTTAATTGGTTATAAAAGTCATGAATTATTACATAAAATTCTTTATGATCAAATACATATTGATGATCAAATTAAATTTCAAGATTTATTTAAACGAACAGTTACACAAAAAAATTTATCAAATACATCATCAAATTTAACAAATATAATTGTACGTTTTCGTACAAATATTGATAATGAATATATTTCATTAAAAACTTCAACATATGCTTTTTGTAATCCATGTACAGATGATATTGAATTTATTATTGTTACATTTTTATCAAATCAAACAACAAATAAAACATCAGTTATAACGAATTCAAATGATTATAATCGTTTAACATATGAAACATATACAAGAAATTCAAGTGCAATTATTCCAAATCCAATAACACGTTATTCACAACAATCACCATCAACATATAATAATCAAGATGGACAAGATTATTCAACTGGAAATGGTAATAATGATGGAAGAACATACGCAAGTAATAATGGTGGTTCAGCATGGGCATCAGCAAATGAGAGTTGGACAACAGGAAATTCAACACCAACAAATAATGATTATGTTGACACACCAGCAACACTTGCACTTTATCATCAATATCATCAGTAAACATAAATTCGTTTTGTTTTTTATGGCATCGAAAATTCTTTTTTTTTTGTTTCTATTGTATATTTTACATTCAGATAGTGGTCGTTTTTTTTTGTTTTGTTTTTGTTCTTTATTTTTTTTTCTTTTTCTCGCTTACATTTGAATCTCTTCATCTTTAGTATTTCACTTATTGTTTTTTTTGTGCATTTTTTTTGCCGCGTTGCGACAAATCATTCTATATTTACATTTCTTCTTTTCATGGCAATATTGTCTTTTTGCATGCTTTATATCTCTCTATTTTATATTTCGCATATAAAACCAAAGAGTCAGTAGTTTCCAGTCATCGAAACAAGAGAACGATTTATTTTGGTGTCGTTATTTGTTTTTTGTCATTTTAGTAGATGTGTTTTTTTCTTTGTTTTGTATAAACATATACATATATATATATATATATATATATATATATACATCTGTATTCTCAATTAATAATAAATAATGAATGAGAAAAAAAACTGGATAGATCAAATGTATTAATTGGTATACATTGACATGTTTTAAGAAATCAGAAATATTTCCTTTGTTCCATGGATATTAAAATCGATCATTCGATATAATGAAAGACTTTTATGCTATAGAAATTATGATTAATTCTGAACAATAATATTATATAAAAGTTTATTAAATAGGATGTTAATTTATCATCCGAATCGGGTCTGAGCTGATTCAATATTACGATGGGCGCTCATGGTCTGAGTTTTGAATAAAATATAAAATTTTCAAAATATGTTGGATATTTCTACTAGATTCTTTTTCGAAAATCGCACGTAACTCTTCCATTGACTAAAACATTTCTGCAACGAATAGCAAACATATGAAGCAGAAGATAAAGTTGTTGTCACCTTAAAACTCTTTCTTTATATTCAACAAAATATTCTTGCTTAGCTCTCGCGTTCATCAACCATTACTTTTTCTCATTCTCAGTCATCAAGTTTTGTTAATACTTTTTCTTCAACTACCGGTACTGGTTCATCGTCACATATAAAGCAGTAAAAATCCGTACTGATAAAATTTCTTTCGAAATGACAATCATCAACATATGCTGTAATTAAAAATGAAAAAGTAAACACATCTTTTGTATATTGGAAAGGTGTTGGCTTTTCAAGTAAAAAATCAGAAAATAGTAGTAAATTCGAGAGAATTGAAGGTTTTGTAAGTTTTCAAAATATGTTACCGAACATTTGTTTATATATCAACTACTAGTACTCGAAATATGCTTACTCATTCATGTGTTAATAATTTATTGAATGCAATTAGATGAATGTCTCATGGGTGAGCTAGTTTTTAAGAAAAAATCATAGACTGGACAAGGTCATAGGTCTATAACTCGTAGGTCAGCTTTCTTCAGTCCGTCACAACCCATTGAAATCTCTGATCTGAATATTTTCATTCATATTAATTCAATCGCAATCATAAATTTATTATTGTTTTCGTTTTCTTGATCGCATATTTAGGAATGGCGAGGCTTGAGTAATGGCTCGACCTTGAGTCGGATTCTTTTAAAGACTCTGACTCGACTCAGACTCGAAAGTTGGGTGTCATTGAATCGAATTGTTCATTCCAAAAAGCAAAAGTTGATAATTCAACACCATAATCAGCTTCAGAAGAAACTGATAGTTTTCTGCAGGAAGAAAATTTAACTGGTGATCTTAATTCATATCAATCTCTTAATATGATATTTCTTCTTTTTGATATTTTTCTTTTCTTTCTTTTCCCACTATACCTTGCTTTTCAGCTATGCTAATTAAATAATGACGATCAATTTTCTTTGCAGATACGTTTTGAGAAGCAAAAGGCAAGCGACAAAAGAATATATGTGTTAGTGGTGTCCTCTTTCATGGTACCCACCAGATTCGTCCATTCGTCAGTCGATGATTAATTAGCTAGGCCTCGTCCGCTCGCTATCTAACGATTGAAAGTATTATGATGCAACATTTGTTTTTTGTTTCACTACTAAGCTATTCTTTCATTTCGGTTATCAGCATCTTCACTACGTATGGATGAGAAAACAGCTATTATAAAACAAATATTTTCCAATTATAATAATTCATTACAAATTCAATCTATATCTCGTCCATTAAATGGTTTTTCAAATTCAGTTTATTTTATCACATTTCTCAACAATTCTAATATGGAACTTGTTTTAAAATTTACTGAACCTGGTGATATTAACGAAGTTCTTTTCTATCAAGCATTGAATCACTATCCCATTGATGAATTTCCTATACCACAAATTTTAAAATATGATTCAATCATTCATAATTATTATATTTCTTCAAAATTACCTGGTTTTCCACTATCACAAGTATTGGATTCTATGACACATGGACAACGACTAGAAATCTATCAAGCATTGGGCATATTCGTAGGACAGTTACATTCAAAGCACATTTATGAAAAATGTGGTTATTTACAAGCCCAACAATATTCTAGTTGGAAACATATGTTTAGTGATATAATTCAAAGACAAATTACATCATTCAAAGAGACAATATTTGAAGAACTTTCAAATAGAATTCACAAATATTTGATTGACAATTTGCATTTAATTGATTATGATATATTACCAAGATTATTACATATGGATTTACATTGTGGTAATATTTTAGTTTCTAATACAAAAATTACAGGTATTGTAGATGCTCAAGATGCAATTATTGGACATAATGAGTATGAATTAATGAGAATTGAAAAAGCCCATTTTGAAGAGAATAACAATAATGATTATCGAGAAAAATTTATGTCTAGTTATACGTACTATGTTAAATTAGATGATGGATATGAAGAACGACGACGAATGTATTCATTATCAAGAGAATTAGTTGGAATGGAATGTTTGTTAGATTATGGCGATAAATATGCACAAGATGGATCAGTAGAGCAGGAGAAGAAAAACATCGAAGATAAAATAAAGCATATTATTAATGTGGATTGAGGAACATAT